CAAGATCTGCGTTTCTGTCCCATTATCTTACTTGAAGGTTTGAATTTAATGAACGAAATGGCTTTCCCTGGGTAGAGTCTGTTTTGCCCACAATGGTGATTGGTGACTGATCTCCCTGTCCTTAACTCCACTCAGGAGCCTTTCTCCATCTTCTTCTCTCTTCTGTCCACCGGAGGGAAGGGACTGAGAGAGGGGCTTGGTGGGCACTTGGTGTCCTGCAAAGATCAACCCCAACCCCGCAGAGCCCCAAGTTGTCAGCAGAGCAGGGTCCCAGGCTTGTCCCTGCCCCTGGTTCCAAGGTCTCCAGGCTGTGCCTGAGGAATGCCCAGTGACGGTGACCTCACAAAGGGGACTTGCTGTGGGACGTGAGAGCAGAGGGATGGGGGCTTGGGGTCACGTGCACAGGTGATGCAGGGCCCCTGGAGAGGGAGGCTGGTGGTGCAGAGACCCCCGGAATGGGTCCCTGTGGGGCCCTGCAGTGAGCAGGGGATGGTGGCCGGGGCATCTCCACCAGGGATCAGTTGAAGACCCACAACAAGGTGAGATCCTGGCCCAGGGACTCCCAGGCAGGAGGAATGGGGAGCAGGCAGCCAGAGGGACAGTGCAACAAGGGCCCAGAGCGGGGTGAGCTGAGGACCCTGTGGAAGGGTGGGTGGTGAGCTGGACAGCCTGCATGGGTTCCCCAAGGTCCTTGGAGCACGAGGGGACAAGGACATGGGGCCTTGTGTGGGTGGTCCTGGGACGTGTGTGTGAGGGGAGATGGTGTAAGAGGGACTGGAGGTGTTTGGGGAGGGAGCAAAGGGTTGGGGTGTGCCAGGGAGTGTTGTCATGTCAAAGCCTGAGTGTGATGAGTGATGGGCTGGTGTAACTTTGTGACAGACCCTCAGGATCCAGTCAGTGCTGCTGGTGGTGCTGGTGAGATATTTCCTAGGAGGGGTCTTGTGGCCCTTTTCGACCCAACCCAATGGCCTGTTGAGGCCTGGCTGTGTAGGGGGTGAAGTTATAAAATCCCTGGTAGAATAAAGGAGGCAGAGGCGTCTCAGGCTTTGATGCAGGAGAAGTTTATTGAGTGAAACAAGTGAAGAGAGAGGAGCAGGGAGTGGGATGGTCTAGGTGTGAGGTGCAAGTAGGGCGACCATCAGCCGAGGTGCTTTGCTTGCAGGAGATATTGGTGCAAGAGTGAGAAGGGCAGGTGCAGGGGGTGTCAGCTGTGATGGCAAGGACCCTCAGCAGGTGCCGGAGCAGCCCCGGCCTGCCAGGCCAGAGCAGCCCAGGCCTCCCAGGCCGTAGCCAAAGCCACGGCCATAGCCCAGGCCGTAGCCTCCGGCCCCAAAGCCGCCGGAGATGGGCTGTCCCTGGACGTTGAGCTCCGTGCCCAGGGCAGCCCCTGCGGTGGATCCAACGAAGGAGCTCTGGGGGAAGGAGGTCATGATGGGCCCTGGGAAGGTGACGCGGACGGGGGAGGGCTGGATGAGGACGGTGGAGTCCTGGCACTGCCTGACACAGGGCTCGTTGCAGCTGTTGGCCAGCGGGGTGGGTCCGCAGGGGCGGCAGAGGTCGTAGCAGGCCATGGGTGTGGTGTGGAGGGGCCCTGGGAGGGCAGGCAAGAGAAGGGGAGAGAAGGTGAGAGCAGAGAGGGGTGCTCGGCAGGTGGGGGCGGTGGGGGTGCTCGGGGCGGTGTTGCAGGAGGGCTGGTCAGTGGGGAGGCTGGTGTGGGGCTGTGGGGAGGCGTGAGGGCTGCTGAGGCTGGGTCCGAGCGTGCTGGCCGAGAGGGGCCAGGGGGGCGGTGTGTCAGGAGCAGGAGGGGGTTGTGAGGGGCTGGAGGCTCACCTGGTTGTGGGCAGAGAAGGCAGGAGAAGGCTTGAGGAGAAGCGTGGCAGGGAGAGAGGCGCTGGGCCGGCTTTTATGCTGCTCCCGCAGGGGCGGCACAGCCTTGGCCCAGCCCTGTCAGCTGGCGGCAGCTTTGAGGAGTTGGGATTTGGGAGGGTTGGATTCTTGGATGTGTGTCAGAGTGGGCTGAGGAAATAACCAAGCCCAGGAGAGGTGTGATGTCATCAGTGAGGTGATTTTGTGGCCCTCGTGTGCTGTGGTTTGGGGATGTGTTGTGGATTGTGGATCCTCTTGTTCTGTGTGACTGGATGTCCATCAGTCATTGTGTTGTACCCAGGAATGCTGAGGGAGCCATTTGATGTCCTGGGGAGGTCACTCTCTATCAGCTTGGAAAGGTCATAGTCCTTTGGAGCAATTCTTGAGGGGTGAAAGAGAGCTCATCCCCTGGAATCGTGATTGAGATCACGAGAGAGGACCTGGAAAACTTGAGGCTGTTCAGGCTGAATTCAGGCTGGTCTGGTTCCGTTCCTATGGTCTACTTGGATTTTTGTAATATTCATCACAAGGTACTTGGTCATTTAAACTTTATTTCTTGACCTTCTGAAGAGAGGCAATAAACAAACCCCCAACAAGGCTTGATCTGTTCTTGCCCAGACTGGTCTGTGACGCCAGTTCCCTTATTCCACATTTAAGCCATGAGGTTTCACAAGGTATAACCTGTAAGTTGTAACATCCTCTACCTACGACACAAAAATTATAATTAGTAGGGGATGGTCAGTGGCTCCTCCCTCGTCCTCTGTCACAGTGCAGGCATTCGTTTCTGGAATTCTGTGATTCCATGTCCTGCCCTTGAGACCGTGTCCATCTGACCTTGGGAGCAGCTTTGAATTGTGAGTATTAGAGGCCAAAGTCTGGAGTTGATGGTGCGTGTCGGGGAGGGCTGAAGATGTGAGCGAAGCTTTGTAAAGGTGAGGTGTGATTAGTGAAGTCCCCCCATGTCCCTGGTGTGCTGTAGATTGTGGGTGTGTTGTCAAGCAGGCCTCCATTCCCTGTGAGCCCTGTCAGGCTGGTCTGGGCTGTGCAGCTGTGCTGGGCATGAGCATGAAGACCTGCCCTTTCCAGTGCAGTTTCTCCCTCCCCACCTTGCTCCCAGCTTACCAGGCTCTTTGTTCCTGTGGGTGATCGTTGGATAGTTTTTGTCTCCTGGAAAGCACTGCCAAGGCTGTGGAGAAGCAGAAGCTGATGATGAGAAATTAGCATTGATTTTGGAAGGGGAAATGATGTATTAAAGAGCTCTGTGTTATCTAGAGAGAAGAAAATCTTAGATGGTGAGAGAGCCATGGCTGGTGTTTACCCCAAGCTTTTAGTAAAGTCTTTGGCACTGTCTCCCAGTGCATGATACTGGACTACCCAGGAATGTCCAGGTTGTGGTAGTGGACAGTGAGGTGGAGTGCTGAGTGTCTGAAGGGCTGGGCCAGAGACCTGTGATCAGTGACCTGAAGTGCAGAAGGAGTCAAGTCTCCAGGGGAGCAGGAAAAGGGCTGGATCCATGGGACCAACACTGTTCAACATGCTCAGCCATGACATGGGCAGGGGGACTGTTGCCCCCGCAGCAAGTTGGCAGATGATGTAAAGTCCAGGGGAATGACTGAGGCACTGACTGGTTGTGCCACCAGTCAGAGGGACCTGAAGACGTGGGAGATTGAAGGTTAAAGGAATCTCCTGAAGTTCCAGAGGGGGAAATGTGAAGTTCTGCAACTGGGCAGGAACGGCCCTGGGCCCCAGGTCACACTGGGGTTTGGGAGGCTGGAAAGCAGCTTTGCTGAGCATGACCTGTGGTGCTGGTGGAGAATCCAAGGGCCACAAGGTCTCAATGACCCTTGACTGGAAATAGCACAGCAGTGCCCAAGATGGATTTCAGAAATACGTTGCCCTGAAGTGAAGAGAGGTGGCCCTTCCTCTCTGGAATTTTATTGGGGTCCCATATGGGACATCCTATGCAGGTCTGGGCTGCACAGTGGAAGGAGAAGCTCATGGACTTAGTGAATCCAGACCAGGGCAGGGCCACCCACAGTGAAGGGGCTGGAGCATCTTTGATAGAGGAGAGGCTGAGAGAGCTGGGACTGCCAGGAAACAAGGAGGGACAGAGAGACCTTCACTGATGTGTGAAAATCCCTGTTGGCAGGGACTGAAGTGGAGGGAGCCCAGGTCTTGTCAGCAGAGCACACGGGCAGGACAAGGGGCCATTGGTAACAGGGAGAACAGATACAATTCCGTGGGCAAAGAAGGGAAGACTGTTTCAGTGTGAGTGTGACCTGAGAGTGGAAGAGGTAGTGGGTTCTCTGTCGTGGGAGATCTAAAACTGAACTGGCCAAGGTCCTGGAAAACCTCCTCTCACTGCTCTTGCTTGAGCAGGAGAGTTGAACAACATGCACTGCAGGGTTCCTGTCAAACCTGTTGTATTTGAAACTCTTGTTTTTACTGTGAGGGCTGAAGAGTCCTGTTGGGGAAGAGAGTTTGTGCAGTGCGTGCTGGCACAGAGAGACTTTGGCAGAGGCGTGTGCAGGAGAGCCTTGTTGTGTGGAAGCCTTTGGTGTAGCAGGTGATGGGTTTGTGCCACGTTCTGGCAGGGCCCCCAGCCTGTGCCAGTCTGTGTGTTAGTGCTGGTGGGGTACTTGTTAAGAAAGGTCTTGTGACTCTTCTTCAACTCCCTAATGGCCTGCTGTTCCTGACATTGTGCTGGGTGAGGATGTGAGACCAAAGGAATTCCAAAAGAAAAGGAGGAGTCATCTGAGGCTGTGATGCAGGAGAACTTTATTGAGACTAAAGAGTAAAAAAGCAGGAGCAGTCAGGGGAAGGGATCTGGTGTGAGGTGCAAGCAGGGTGACCATCAGATGAGGTCCCTCTCTTGCAGGAGACTTTTCCAGAGTCCCGAGGTCTTGCTGCTCCCCTTGTTGGAAGCAGCCCAGCAGAAGAGGCCGCTGGTGTGTGGCTTGTGAGAAGGTGTTTTCAGCAGAGGGGACTGGCCAGAGCCGAAGGGGCACTGGAGAGAAGGAAGGGGGAGAAGAGGAGGAGGGAGCTGGGCCATGTTTGCAGGCAGTGCAGGCTGGCCCCTTGGCTGCTTCCATGCTTGGAGCCCTGAGAGCAGGAGCTGGAAGTGCTGAGCCTATTGGAAAGCCTGGGCACGGAGATGAATCCCTGTTCCATGTGGTGACTTGCAGGTCCTGGGTGGTTGTTGTTGGGGCAGTTGTTTGGGGCCTCAGCAGATGCCGTAGCAGCCCCTGTTGGCGTAGCAGCCCAGGCCTCCCAGGCCGTAGCCAAAGCCACGGCCATAGCCCAGGCCGTAGCCTCCGGCCCCAAAGCCGCCGGAGATGGGCTGTCCCTGGACGTTGAGCTCCGTGCCCAGGGCAGCCCCTGCGGTGGATCCAACGAAGGAGCTCTGGGGGAAGGAGGTCATGATGGGCCCTGGGAAGGTGACGCGGACGGGGGAGGGCTGGATGAGGACGGTGGAGTCCTGGCACTGCCTGACACAGGGCTCGTTGCAGCTGTTGGCCAGCGGGGTGGGTCCGCAGGGGCGGCAGAGGTCGTAGCAGGCCATGGGTGTGGTGTGGAGGGGCCCTGGGAGGGCAGGCAAGAGAAGGGGAGAGAAGGTGAGAGCAGAGAGGGGTGCTCGGCAGGTGGGGGCGGTGGGGGTGCTCGGGGCGGTGTTGCAGGAGGGCTGGTCAGTGGGGAGGCTGGTGTGGGGCTGTGGGGAGGCGTGAGGGCTGCTGAGGCTGGGTCCGAGCGTGCTGGCCGAGAGGGGCCAGGGGGGCGGTGTGTCAGGAGCAGGAGGGGGTTGTGAGGGCTCACCTGGTTGTGGGCAGAGAAGGCAGGAGAAGGCTTGAGGAGAAGCGTGGCAGGGAGAGAGGCGCTGGGCCGGCTTTTATGCTGCTCCCGCAGGGGCGGCACAGCCTTGGCCCAGCCCTTGGGGCATTTCTCAGGCAGCAGCTCTTGCCTGGCCCAGCCTGGTGAGTCCTGAACTGGGCACTGTTTTCCCTCCCCACCTCTGCAATGTCATGTCCTGCCCTTGAGGCCGTATCCATCTGACCTTGGCAGCAACTTTTGAGATTGAGCTGTAATTGGGAGGATTTGCATGGGAAGTGCATTTCAGGGAGGTTTGTAAACCTGAGTGAAGCTTTGGAGGCAGAGGTGTCATTAGTGAGGTTACCTCATGCCACTCGTGTGCTGTGGTTTGTGGTTCTGTTGTGCAGAGTGAACCCTCTTCTTTGTAACTGGATGTAAATAAATCATTTTACTGCGCGCAGGAATGCTGAGGAAGCTGCTTTTTGTTCCTGGGAGGTCACTCTCCCGTAGCCTGGAAAGGTCATGGTGCCTGGGAGCACTTCCTGATGGCACTTCCAGGATGCAGAGGGATGATCTGGAAAATTCAAGGTTGGTCAGGGTGAGCACCTACCCACTGTTATGCTCCATTTGGAGCTTCCAAAATTGCCCAACAGCATATTCTGTCATTTAAACCGTGTTTCTTCAGCTCATGAATAATCCAGTGACCAAACAGCAAACTCAGGCTGGATAATCTTTTTGCCCAGGCTGGTCTATGACATTAATTTATCTATTCTGTATTTTTGTCATAAGGTTTTTTGAACCTGTATGTTTTGATATTTTGCAACTCTGAGCCAAACCCAATAATTGCTATTAGAAGGTCAGTGGGCTCCTCTTTACTCCTCTGCCATAGTATGGGTGTTCCTGTATAAGCCAGGGAAGCATGAGAGCCTCAGCAGTGCAGCTGCTGCTTCAGGATCTGCTTCAGGAGCTGTTTTGGGAGAGCTGATGTTCTGAACCTTCCAGGCTGGAGCTTTGGTCTTCATCATCATGGCTAGGCTTCGTGAACGAAGATTTGGGAAGGCTCTATCCACATTTGTTGCAGGCATGCTGGTGGCTCATGCGGCCAATACGTGACAGACATATCCGATTGCAAAAGGCACAGCAGAAAGACTCCTTAGGTGGTAAATTCTGCAAGACACGGTTCTTTCTGTGTTGCCTTTTCTCCTCGAGGGTGATCCTGCGTGCGTTCTCAAAGGAGACAGTTGCGTTATAGATGGTGTGTCTCCAGGCCTCCCGATTGGAGGCCAGAGTAGACCAGTTATGGTGATCAATATGGCCAAGGCTGAGATGTTGTTTCAGGGAGTCCTTGTATCTTTTCTTCGGGGCTCCTCTCTTGCGGCAGCCAGTGGCAAGTTCACCATAGAGCAAGATCTTAGGGAGGGGGTGGTCCTTCATCCTTGAGACGTGCCCTGCCCAACCCAGCTGTGTTCTCAGTAACATGGCCTCAATACTTGTGACTGCTGCTTGCTCTAGAACAGATGTGTTGGTCACAAAATCTGACCAGGGGATGTTTAGGATTGTACGGAGGCAGCGTTGATGGAAGCGTTCTAGGAGACGCAGGTGGTGGCGGTAGATGACCCATGATTTGGAACCATACAAGAGAGTAGACAACACTATGGCTCTGTAAACACTGATCTTGGTGCTTTTCTTCAAGTGTTTATTACGCCACAGTCTTTTGTGGAGTTTTCCAAAAGCACTAAAAGCCTTTGCTAACCTGTTGTCTATCTCTCCGTCAATCTCACCATCCGAGGAGATGAGGCTACCGAGGTAATTAAACTGTTGGACTGATTTGAGCTCTGATTGGCCAATGGTGATGTGGGGATGATGGGGGACTTCCTGAGGTGCAGGTTGATGGAGGACCTCTGTCTTCTTTAAGCTGACTTCCAGCCCAAAGAGCTCAGCAGCATCTGCAAAGCAGGATGTTAAACGCTGCAGAGCTGCTTCTGTGTGGGCAACAAGGGCGGCGTCTTCGGCATAAAGCAGCTCCCGGACGAGATGGTTTAAGGTCTTGGTGTGGGCCTTCAGACGCCTTAGATTGAATAGGCTTCCATCAGTACGGTATCGAATGTAGATACCGTCCTGATCATCGAGGTCTGCTGTGGCCCTTTGGAGCATCAAGCTAAAGAAGACTGTGAATAGGGTAGGAGCGAGAACGCAGCCTTGTTTCACACCATTCTTAATTAAGAAGGGCTCAGAAAGTGTGTTGCCATATCTGATTGGCCATGCTGATCCTCATGGAGTGAGATGATCATTTTAAGGAACTTGGGGGGACATCCTAAACATTCCAAAATCTGCCACAGACCTTTTCTGCTCACAGTATCAAAAGCCTTGGTGAGGTCGACAAAGGTTACATACAGGCTGGAGCTTTGGTCTTACATCATTTCCATCTGTTCCTGTATTCTGACCACACTGCCAGAGGCAAAGAAGAGCCTTCAGGAGAGGGCAATTTGCAGGGGACAGTGGCTGCACAATGGCCTTTGGCTTTTGCTGGCCACTTGTCCTGCTTGCAGAGCGTGGATCAAAGTGTGGGAGAGAAGTGGCGCTGCCCTGGAGCCCTGGGGCCCAGCGCTGGGGATGGGTCAGCAGGCAGATGGAGCCCCAGTCACTGTCCCCCTTGGAGCTCTGTCATCCCCCAGGGCTTCCCCCACTGCTGCCTGTGCTGCTCCTGCACAGCTGGACAATTGTCTTGTCCAGGAGGGTGCAGGGAGGGACAGGAGCATCGACCTGACTAAAAGCCCAACAAACTGCATCCACCACATTCCCTTCATGCCTGAGTGGAGGGGCATAAACACAGAAGGATATGAAATGAGGCAGGAGAGACTTTCCCTTACTGAGCCCCCCCTGACTGTTGCTGAGGGTTGCCTTGTCCTTTCAAAGCCTTCCAGTTGCACCCTGTAGGATCTTGTGGCCAATTTTGCAGGTGCTGCGGATAGAGGGACAGGTTTGCAGTTGCCTGCATCTTCCCTGAGTGCCTTTGCTAAGTGGGGCTGAGTTGGGCTGGTTGCAGCCTGGCTGGAGCTGTGCTGAGTGCCAGCAGCTGCCGAAATGCAGGGGAGCTGAGTGTGCTGAGGGTTGTCCCCCAGGGCAGCAGAGGTGTTGGGGAGGAAGAGGAGGGGAGGCAGGAAGGGGATGTGTGTCTGGGCGTTGCTGGGGCTGCAGGGCCTGGCAGGCAAGAGGCATCTGGGCCAGTGCAGGGCTGGGCTGGGGGTGCCAGGGAGTGCGGGGGTCTCAGGGATCCCCCCAGAGAGGGGGGTTGTGTGACTGGGTGTGCAATAGTCCCTGGGGAAAGGTGGGGTGAAGCCTGGAGTGCTGAGGGAGGGACCTGATATCCTGGCCATGGAGGAATCTCCTGGAGTTCAGTGAGGAAAGATGCCAAGTCCTGTTTCTGGGGCAGAAGACCAGAACAGGGACATCAGGACACAGAATTATCTAGAGGTGAATCTGAGAGGGCTTGGACTGCCAGGGGATCAGGACAGACTGGAGGTGTCATCAGTGTGTAAATCCCTGATGGCAGGGAATGAAGCTGAGGGAGCCCAGCTTTTGTCAACAATGCACTGGTGCACGACAAGAAGCCCTTGCTCAGGTGAGAAGAGGTGGAATTCCATGGGAAAGGAAGCCAAGCCTTCTTCAGCATGTGGGTGTTGACAGAGTGGAAGAGGTGGTGGGTCCTGTGTCCTGGGAGATCTAAAGCTGAACTGCACATGGTCCTGGAAACCCCGCTGATGCTTGCCGTGCTTGAGCAGGGGGTTGAATCAGCTGCACTGAAGAATTGCTGCCCAACAGGAGGATTTTGTGGCTCTGTTTGCTGGGAGGGTTGAGGAGTCCTGCTGGGGAATAGTTTGTGCAGGGTGTGCTGGATGCCAGAGCCCTTGGTGTGGTGTGCACAGGTAAGAGTAGTGTTGTGTGGAAGCTTTTGGTGTAGCAGGAGATGGGCTGGTCCCCTGCTCAGAAAGGACCCTCAAGCTGTGCCAGTCTGTGTTGGTGGTGGTGTCCTAGTTGTTAAGAAGGATCTTGTGGCTCTTGTGCACCCACCACAATGGCCTGTTGAGGCCTGGCTTTTGCCAAGGCAGTTTGTGAGACCACTGGGAGAAAAAATGACAAGGAGTCATGAGAGGCTGTGATGCAGGAGAATTTTATTGAGACAATAGAGTAAAGAGACAGGAGCAGGGAGTGGGATGGGCGCAGGTGTGAGGTGCAAGTAGGGCGACCATCAGCCGAGGTGCTTTGCTTGCAGGAGATATTGGTGCCAGAGTGAGAAGGGCAGGTGCTGGGGGTGTCAGCTGTGATGGCAAGGACGGTCAGCAGGTGCCAGAGCAGCCCAGACCTCCCAGACCGGAGCAGCCCAGGCCTCCCAGGCCGTAGCCAAAGCCACGGCCATAGCCCAGGCCGTAGCCTCCGGCCCCAAAGCCGCCGGAGATGGGCTGTCCCTGGACGTTGAGCTCCGTGCCCAGGGCAGCCCCTGCGGTGGATCCAACGGCGGAGCTCTGGGGGAAGGAGGTCATGATGGGCCCTGGGAAGGTGACGCGGACGGGGGAGGGCTGGATGAGGACGGTGGAGTCCTGGCACTGCCTGACACAGGGCTCGTTGCAGCTGTTGGCCAGCGGGGTGGGTCCGCAGGGGCGGCAGAGGTCGTAGCAGGCCATGGGTGTGGTGTGGAGGGGCCCTGGGAGGGCAGGCAAGAGAAGGGGAGAGAAGGTGAGAGCAGAGAGGGGTGCTCGGCAGGTGGGGGCGGTGGGGGTGCTCGGGGCGGGAGGCTGGTGGGGGGCGGTGGGGAGGCGTGAGGGCTGCTGAGGCTGGGTCCGAGCGTGCTGGCCGAGAGGGGCCAGGGGGGCGGTGTGTCAGGAGCAGGAGGGGGTTGTGAGGGGCTGGAGGCTCACCTGGTTGTGGGCAGAGAAGGCAGGAGAAGGCTTGAGGAGAAGCGTGGCAGGGAGAGAGGCGCTGGGCCGGCTTTTATGCTGCTCCCGCAGGGGCGGCACAGCCTTTACCTTTGTGGTACAGTCATGAGGTGGGTGTGATTTCCTTCCCTCCATTCTGCAATGTCATGTCCTGCCCTTGAGGCTTTTGTCCTTCTGGCCTGGTTGCAGGTTTTAATTGCAAGAATTAGAGCCCAATGACTTGTTTATGGTGTGTGTTGGGACACATGGAATTTGCAAAGCTTTCAAGAATTGGGGC